CCAATGGGCAGTGTTCGTAATGGCGAGAGAAACCGACGACGAAATTCATCGGGATTGGCTGCTGCAAAAGCTTGGGAATAGCACCTACGCGGCGGCATTGAAGAATAGCAGTGCGCAAAATTTCAATCTCTCGGCCTCAAGATATGATTAGTTCTCTTTTTCGGAAATATCGCTCAGAGGAGACGCTTTCCTACCAGCCACGTCATCTTCCCGCACGTTAATTGTCAAGATATTGAGCCCATATGTTTCATCACCTTGCTTCTTGTAAGCGTATTACTTCTGCTTGGCTAAGAATTATTGAGCAAATATCTGCGAACTATGTCAGGCGCGCTTTGGACCGTCGTCTTTCACTCATTTTACAAGGCAAATTTCTAACTTTTTCGATTCTCTGCACCCGACCAAGTCACCTTGAACGTGGCAATCCCAGTCATTGCACTCCTGGAGCTCAAGAGGGTCTCCCGTGTGTATTTTGTTCTACGGCCCACATGTGCTTTCGATCGGGGCGCGGTTATCATTACATGGAGATGGTGGTTCTAGGAAAGAAATACTATGAATTGCGGCTGAGCTTCCGAGTTTGCCCTTAAAAGGGGTATTTGCTCAAGTGCTCTCAACCGGGAGAGCTTCCGGTCTCTAATGAGTCAGCTACCTAGGCGATCCCCATCTTGAGTCATGGTCCCGGGATGTGGGAAAGCAGAATAGAATATTTTAGCATTCGGCCTTCGAGTAAGTGTTGTGGTGAGGAATGTAAAAATGTCTGCCATTACCGTACAGACGTCAGGCGGCGCTCGTCAGCAGTAGCATCGAAGAGTAAAAAGAGTCTCACAGGCGATTTTATCGTGAAAAATCTGTTACAAATGCTGAACTTTCTGTTCGTGGATGAAGATGAATGAAGCTGTGCTCATGGATGATTGGAGTGTTGTGTTATATTCGGTTGCTGAGTTTGGAAGTTGTTTGCGGGTGGCTATGCTGGCTTTAGGAGGGAGATCATCAAGGTAACGCAGTAATTCATAAATGATGCCGATCAGGAGAAAGAGTGACGATTGGTGAGAGTCTAAGTGAGAGATGGATCGCCTGGCCGGCACAGGTGGGATACTTGTACTACACACCGCTGGTAAAGAGAAACTATCCCGCCGGCTCCTTTAACGACTAATACTGCGTATGTTACCTTATGCTTTCGGTCTACGCCGAAATAATGAGTTGTACAGACATTTTCTGTCCCCTGGAACCGGCTTGCATGCCTTAAAGGTCGCGCGCTCGCATCAAATGGCAGCACTCTCTTCGAACTTCGTGTCTCTTTATGGAAAAGCTTTCTTCTACTCTTCAACATTTTTAAAATCTTCAAGATGAAATACGGACACATCATCATCCTCGCTGTTAGCCTAGTTGCGCCGGCAATGGCAGACTGGTGCGACTACGGCACCAGCAACCCAGCCCCTCAGGGCCAAGACTGTGGCCCAGTAAGAAAACTTCACTGACAAGATGCGTTTGAGAGTCATAGCTAATGTGCTCTTTCCTCTAGGGTTACTATTTCTACTGCGTATGATTCCAGATCTCTCTTGGAACGAGTTTAGAGTAACTTGTCTCACTAATGCAAACTTCCAGTGTGGTGACCAACCCTCTGATGATCGCCCAATTTGGCGTGGGGACTGTTCATCTCCTCCCTCTCACGATGGTTGCGGTGCTGGGGCTGTAAGTAAACCCGCAGACGACGCTTTCAAAGATTGATACTAACTACTTTCTACAGGTGGTTTCATGCGTATGGCGAATCTCCGAGCCCCGAAATGATCATTTTCCTCTCGTGCGCTTAACTAACATCCCGGTCTAATTAGTGTTCCTAGAGTGGCAGTGTTGTTATTGTATTTAATGGCATGGTGGCGAGGTTAGAGGTCTTGGGACAAGTCTGCCGAAGAACACATGGCTTGAAAATCCGTAGGCCAAGGGTAGTTACATTATCGTATGAGCTTTGCAGTCGGGCAGTGTCATTTGGCTATCCGGGCAGTGTCCACACACACACGTGTAATCCGTGGCCTGTTTCTAAAGCGACTATATTTCTTAATTTCGCCTTTATTCTTATTAATATCTATTATCGTCGTCTACTATTTTTATCGTTATCGTTATTATTATTATTATCGTCGTCGTCGTTATCGTTATCGTCGTTTTTCGTCGTTAGTCTTATTATAACTACTATTATTCTCTCTATATTTCTAGATTAAAGGGGATACTGCCTAGATAAGAAAATGACACTGCCCGACTAGCAAAACTCTATCGTATTGCAGTTTCCTCTAGTCTTTCAAGATTTACCTTATGAGCACCATCATACTATGGGTCCATCTGCCCTTGTTTCATACTAGTGCCCCAGTTCAGTTGTCTTTATTTATTTTCTCAGCAGAGCCGAGTGAAGAAGATTTATGGTTGGAGGTGGAAAGATTTGTCTCTTTGTTCTGGCGCTAACATACATCTATGGCTGCCAGCCTCTAAATCTGTCCAACTCGACACCAAGACTCAAAGTCCCAGTTGCTAAGAAATTTGAGTTTTCTTTCTCAGTTGTTTTCCTTTGAAATAAATCAGAAAGGCTACAGGAGCGACAACCACCCCGATTACAGCCAAGATGGTGTTGCCTATACCATCACCCAATGCCTGATACATCCTGCCACCACACAACGGAAGTAGGCCACCTCCCAGGCTTCGTAGCACAGTGCTGGCCGCCGTGGCACTCGCTGCGTACTCGGTGAAAGCATCTACCAGATACGCATTAATAGGAACGAAGATAAGGATTGTACCAAAGCCAATTAGGAGCATGCCGAACAGTGGTGTAATCCAGTGCACGTTGCGTTCCAGTGTCCACCCGTACAGTAGCAGTCCGGCCGGAACAAGAAGGCTACCAGGAAGTAGCGGAGGAAGTCTATATTCCGGCTTCATGGTTCCGGACCTCGCGGCGCCTCGCTTAACGATTCGATCTGAAATTACGCTCAAGACGATGTTTCCAGAAACGTTGCCAACCCCGAAAGCCAAGTACGTAAGTCCTACGTTTCTTTCGTCAAACGTATCGTAACGTTCGACAAAGGTTGAGCTCATAGTTGTGAACATGATGTAGATATAGCCGTAATTAATCGCTGCAAGCACTGAAAGAAAGAACACAATTGGCGACAAAAAGAGTAACTTGAAGGGTCCAATGATAGCGCTCGTAAATGTCTTCAGATGAGGTTGCGAGGAGGAATCAATCGCGTTGCCAGGTCCAAGGGCTTCTGTCGCCTTCTTCTGGGTTCGAGCATTGCGCTTCGAAAGTGTTGGGAGGTGAGACTCCCTCAGGAACGCTGCAGTCGCAACGAGAATCGCTGCCATCTACAAATAATTGTCAGCAATTCCCCCCACAAGCATGAAAGCCAATGTCGAGAAACCTAGACTCACCGCTATCGCGAGAAACCAAAAGTTCCATCTCCAGCCCATTGCAGCCGCCAGGTAGCTCCCGACGAGAGGTCCGATGGCCGGGCCCAGTAGGACGGGAAGGTTCCAGAGAGCGAGAGCTTTTCCACGCTCCTCTACTTTGAAGATGTCGGCTACGCTCGCAGGACCAAGTGCCAAAGGGCTTGATCCCACGAGGCCAGTGACGAAGCGGAAGATGATCAGCATCGGCAAGTTTACTGACAGCGCGCATGCTACATTGCTAATGATGAACAACACTGAGTTGACGTGATAAATAATGAGTCTCCCATACATCTCGCTTAGCGGCGCGTGCACGAGGGGCCCAAAGGCATACCCAAGAACGAAAATGGATACACTGAAAGCTTCGAGGTCGGGGTTTTCCGATTGATGGAAATCTGTCATTGCGGAAGCGGTGCTTGGGGCAAACATGGAAGAGCCAAAAGGACTTCGCATCATGTTAGCCACATATGTGAAGGCGACTAAGCAACTTACGAGATGAGGGTTAACAGGGAAACCAGGAGAACATTAGTCCACTTCTTGCTGCTCGACCAGTTGCACGGCAATTTTGCATGGCTGTAATCTGCTTCAACTTCACATTCCGACCGCATCGGCTGTTGCCCTTCTCCCATAATTGTTCGTCTTCTCCGGCTATTATAGGAAGAAGAGGAAAGTGAGTTTGTGTGCAGCAAATTGTGAAAGAACTTCGTGATAGAAAATGAACGTATAAGCAAAAGGAGAAGTCAATCCAGGTTTAGGAACCTTTGGCATGGTTCGATGGCCACCGAGTTTGAAGCCTGTCTTGGCATCCCAACTTATACGGGACTTCATGGTACCGTATGTTGGATAATCCGAGGCGTCTGAAACGAACTTGACAATGATGCCACGCTATTGAGGGTCACACTATTCCCAAATAATCCAAAAAGAACCTGTCAGCGTGTCTCGGAGTACCATTTCTTAATTCCGGACCAAGGATGACAGCGTCTTATCGTGATCCGCAGTGGGACCCACAAATGACTTGACTTCCATGCGGGTTGCTTCATACGTCTTCGATGTCTCCACTACCTGAACCATTCTTGGGTCTTTCCAACCACAACTGCAAGATACAAGCAAGTACGGAGCCCGGATATAGGCCTCTGGTGAGTGGTAGAAAATAGACTTGTTCTGCCCTTGAACCTGGCTGCCCTGCCGAAAACTCGGAGCGCCTCGAAAAACAGGGATTATTACTCCAAGTCAGGTTGTGCCAATGAAATCATCGGTCTTCTTTCCTGCGCTGGGTTTTCGGACCATCTTGTTGGTGGTCTAGGAAGATCTATGGCTGTCTTCGTCTCAAAGTAGATTCGTTGTTTGGATTGGGAGTCATTTCAAGAGCATGGATTTGATTGTGGCCGTTGCAATTGGGCTTTCTGCAAAGCTCCTTGACCGACTTATGACTTTTGCAAATCAACGAAAAGCAAAAGAAGCACAGTCACTGCAGTCAAAATTTCCTAAGATGATACATTTACCTTGAAAAGAAAGTGGTAAAGTGAGGAAATATACATCAATATGTATTGGATATTTGACTTATCAATGCCATTAACTTAGCCCACATTTCCACAAGAGCACAGTTTCTTAACGATCGTGCTAATTCTGGAGGAATCCTTTACAATGAGAGACATCTCCTCCTCGCAAGAAATCTTTCTCCTTCTCTCCGCCACTGTTTCTTCTAACTCGCGTTGAACTTTGGAGGCTACCTCATCGTCGGTCAGGACAGCCCAGGCAGACCTCGCCAGAGCCTTGGCAACAATGAGACTGCGCTCGTGCGCTGGCTCGGCTCCAGCAGCTTCTGTGAAGCCGACAGTGTGGTTGCTCTGTCCTTCCTTGGCATCGATACCGTAGATGGGGTGGATGACGGGGACAACACAACCGACGTTCCCCTGGTCGGTAGCGCCAGAGATAACCTCCTTCGTGTCCACGTCGCACCACATGGGAATGCCCAGGTCTGCCGCGCAATCGGCAAAGACCAGAGAGAGTTGCTTATTCGGACGCATGGGAGCGTAGAAGACATCGTATTCTACCTGCATCTTGCAGCCTGTGGCTATAGCGCCGGCCCGAAAATTCGCAACAACCCGGTCTCGCAGCTCCAGGGTTTTCTCAATGGTTGGCGCACGCACCGCGTATTCAACGGCAGCAAAGTCGGGAATGACATTGCTCTTAATTCCAGCGTCAGTAAAGATACCGTGGACGGTGGAATCCTTCGTCATTTGCTGCCTCATCATGCTGACGCCATTGTAGCCGAGAACAGCGGCGTCAAGAGCATTCACGCCCTCCCAAGGTGAGGCGGCTGCGTGGGCAGCCTTGCCTTCGAACTGAATCTTGAAGCTAAGCGTAGCAACATGGTTAACGAAGGCGTTGCCGTGTCGCCCTTCAGTGCCATAGGCAAACATAGGAGCCGGGTGAGCCATGACGCAAGCCGCGACCCCGTCATAGGCGCCCTTGCCAACGAGCATGCCCTTACCGCAGCCACCTTCCTCGGCTGGAGTACCAAGGAGCTTCACCCGTCCAGGCTTGCCGGAAGTCTTCAGAGCGGCGACTGTGGCAATGAAGCCCGCCAGGGATGCAGTTGCGATGAGATTGTGGCCACAGGCGTGACCAATGCCAGGTAGCGCATCGTACTCGGTGTTGAAGACCACCAAACGGCCGCCCTCTCCGTACTTGGCTTCCAAGGAGGTAGGAATGCCGTATGCGTGAGGTGTCACTTTGAAGCCAAGCTTCCCCATTGCCGTGACAAGGGTATCGTGAGCGTGGTGCTCCTCGTAATTCAGCTCAGGGTGCTGGTGTATCTAACATGCCGAAGCCAAGGTCAGTCGGGATATTTATACAGACATCAGTAACCGGGTCGACTAACGTCCAAGTCTACTTCTCTTAATAACATCTTGGCATCGGTTATTGCGAAATCTATTGCAGCAGCAATTTCAGGCGCAATGATAGCCATGGTGGGAACAGGGGATGTTGAAGTAACGACACGCATATTGGCCTGATCGATGGAAACGGTCTACTAGCTGCCGCTCTTTGAATGGAAACGACTAGATGATTATTACAACTTACGGCCCGCTCATGTTTAAGTAGCTTTTCAGTACTAGCAGCAAAGTGATGAACTGCTGTGGCCTGTTTTCTTCTCGTAAGAGCCCTGGAGCCCGATTGTAACCTGGCGCATGGATCCGGATTGTCGTCGGGGTAGGACCCGCACCGCGCGGTCTGGGGACCCTAGTAGAGTACACTCCGTTGCGTTGACGGCGTCCGCCCCCGACTTTGACCCGGAAAGAAAATTTTCCGCTAGCCTAAAAACCCTCTAAACTACCCTAGACTTCACACCTTAATAACTCTATGCGTATATCATGCGTGATAATAAAAATGAATTAATCGATAGCCTTTAACTAGGCAGTTATAATAATCTATTTTTTTATTCACGCGTATTGCGTACGTATAGAGTTATTAAAGTGTAAAGTTTAGGGTGATTTAGGGGGTTTTTAGGCTTTAGGCTAGCGGATACTAAACGTAACGCTAAAAAGAAAAAACAAAACCCCTAGCGCGTTGCGTTTAAACTGTCCGCTCTAAAACCCCTTAAAGTCACCTTTAACTTTACACACTAACAGCTCTATAGTTAAGTATATCATCTTAAACTCTAATAGTAATAGTAAACTGCTTTAACTTAAAGCTTCTCTAATATAATATAGTAAATATATTTATGTATACTAAGCTTAATAAAATAGTATATATAAGGTTCTTATTTAGCTATAAGAAGCTTAGAAAGGTACTTAAGCTTAAAAAGGCTTTATATAAACTTTATTAATCTCCCCTCTTATAGTAGCGTTATCTTAAGAAAAGACTAAAAGAGTTAAACTTTTTATAGGTATTAAGAGAGGATTACTACTAGAAGAAAGGTTAAGTATACTTCTTCTTTTATATAAATAACTATAAGTTATACTTACTTACTTAAAAGCTTCTTAAAAAGAAGCTAAAGAAGTAGTTAAAAGACTTTAGAAGAGATATTACTTTAAAGGTGGTAAAAGCCTATAATAGTTTCTTAGTATTAAGGTTCTCTATAATTAAAAGATAAGGAAATTCTAGCTTTTATAAGTAGTTTATATTATAGGATAGTAATTAAGATTAAGAGAATAATATAGTTAGGGTTTATATTAAATAAGGACTAAATCTTAGCCTGCCTTTTAGTAGCTAAGTAGTAGCTAGAAATAAGCCTCTCTCTCTAAAATAGCTAATAATAACTTAGTGAAGGCCTAAGGTGTTAAGGCTTATAAGGCTCTATAATAACTAGGTCCCCCTCTGAGGAACTATCCTTAGTTTAGAATAAAGATTAGCTAATCTTAAGCTTTTTATTAGAGGTTTATTAGAGAGGTAGTTACTCTATTTTACCTTCTTAGTTATTAACTAATTAGAAAAATTAGAACTATATTGTTACGACCCGTTATGCAGGATAACAGTTAACCGACCCACTTGGGCATCGAGCGGCTAGGACAGGACATTTGTATTGCAGGATCACGGAAACAACAGGGACTCGCTCGGAAACGGAAGAACTATGGTGCAAGTCACGTG